TTTGACTGTCTGATCGTAATTGTAAAGTGCCTTGAGAAGATATGTGATGTGAATTGGCATTATATGAATAAACTGAACTGAATTAAATTCCAAGTAATGATACTCCACATTTTTTTCAGTGTTCATATAGCTGTAAGTTGGCAAAATCAAGACGATCAATCAGTGGTATGTTGCTTTTTTTTTTTTAAGAATATATATTAAAATCATGGCTTTGATTTTGCAATAAAAAAAACTGCTGAGGTCAGACAAACAGATCAAAACACTGCTGTTCTTATTTATTGTAACAGGGTGGGGCTCCTATGTGTCATAGCAACTGCATACCTGAGTGAACACTTAACAGAAACTGTTTGCAGAAATAAAGTATGACATCAGCAGTTACAAAGTAGATGAGCCTAAAACTTATTTTCAGGTTAGAACAATCACTTTTTAATCAAAATGTAATTCATCCGGCTTGTTATAGTGCAAGTTCATATATACAGGCTTCCTTGTGGGAAAATAGGTAATGAGTCATCAGGTGCTACTGGTTGAAGTTTTCTAGGTGAAGACATATTGGAAGTGAGCCACCGGTAGCGGAGGTCACACAAGACAGTTAGCTGCTGTTTTCTTACAAAGGCTTATTCTGTTCTCCATCTTTACATCTTTTCTCACTTTCAACCAACTTTTTCCCCTCTAGTTGTCTGTGATCTGTTTCCCATCATTTCCTCAAAGGTTAAACATTTATCAGCATGGATGTGGTAACAAAAAGATTATTACGTGTTGTTGAATCAATGAACCTGTTGGAAATCAAACTACAGCAATCATTAGCTGTAGTATTACCTGATATGATCCAATATGTAGCTCTTTGAGTAAATGATTACTTTAAAAACTGAAAGTTGACGCACAGATTTTCTATCTCAGATTTTAGGTTTAGCCAGTTTAGTCTAGTTTGTAGGAAATGACAAGGTAGAGAAATCACAAATAACTACATCTACAATAAGGAGTTTCATAAAAATCAGATACCTGAATATTCTTTGTAATTGGCAGAACTAAGCCCAATAACTAGAAATAAGGATATTCCACTCTTTTGCTTTGTCCATTTCAAAGTTCATAGTTCTGGAGTATTTGTTCTTTTTTTAAAATCCAGAAATCTTCACGTTTTCATATCAACATAATGATTTTAGAGAGTGATACATACCTTTTTAATTTTTCTGCATATGAGTTATATTAATTGTTGTATTATAGGATGTACCAGTCTAATTATCAAAGGGCTGATTTTTTTTTCTTTATGCTAATCACTTGCTTAGCTGAGTTTGATAACTTTGCTGAGTGAATTCAGAATGATCATACCAGCATTAGTTTGATATATAAGACTTTAGAAGAGAAAAAAGCTAGAATAAAGTGGTAGTATGTACATGTGAGTGTACCTATGGTTCCATTCTTTTTTTCAGTAATAGTGCAGATATGCTTACTTGTTTTTCATGCGGAGTAGCTGATTCATCATGCTGTGAAGTGTTTATTGTGTTCATAGGAGGAGCGCCTATAGGGGAGTTAATGTTTACAGGTGCTGGTCATAAAATTAGAATATCATGAAAAAGTAGATTGATTTCAGTAATTCCATTTAAAAAGTGAAACTTGTATATTATATTCATACATTACATACAAACTCATATATTTCAGATGTTTATTTTGTTTAATTTTGATGATTACAAATGACAACAAATGAAAATCTCAAATTCATCATATCAGAAAATTAGAATATTACTGAAGACCAATAAAAACAAAGGATTTATAGAAATGTTGGCCAACTGAAAAGTATGAACATGAAAAGTATGAGCATGTACAGCACTCAGTATTTAGTTGGGCCTCCTTTGGCCTGTATTACTGCAGCAATGCGGCGTGGCATGGAGTCGATCAGTCTGTGGCACTGCTCAGGTGTTATGATAGCCCAGGTTGCTCTAATAGTGGCTTTTAGCTCTTCTGAATTGTTGGGTCTGGTGTATTGCATCTTCTTCTTCACAATACCCCATAGATTTTCTATGGGGTTAAGGTCAGGAGAGTTTGCTGGCCAATTAAGAACAGGGATACCATGGTCCTTCAACCAGGTACTGGTAGCTTTGGCACTGTGTGCAGGTGCCAAGTCCTGTTGGAAAATGAAATCTGCATCTCCAAAAAGTTGGTCAGCTGCAGGAAGCATGAAGTGCTCTAAAACTTCCTGGTATGTGGCTGCGTTGACCCTGGACCTCAGAAAACACAATGGACCAACACCAGCAGATGACATGGCACCCCAAACCATCACTGAATGTGGAAACTTTACACTGGACTTCAAGCAACGTGGATGAAGTGCCTCTCTTCTTTTCCTCCAGACTCTGGGACCTTGATTTCCAAAGGAAATGCAAAATTTACTTTCATCAGAGAACATGACTTTGGACCACTCACCAGCAGTCCAGTCCTGTTTCTCTTTAGCCCAGGCAAGACGCTTCTGACGCTGTCTGTGGTTCAAGAGTGGCTTGACACAAGGAATGCGACAGCAGAAACCCATGTCTTTCATACGTCTGTGTGTGGTGGTTCTTGAAGCACTCACTCCAGCTGCAGTCCACTCTTTGTGAATCTCCCCCACATTTTTGAAGGGGTTTTGTTTCACAATCCTCTCCAGGGTGCGGTTATCTCTCTTGCTTGTACACTTTTTTCGACCACATCTTTTCCTTCCCTTCGCCTCTCTATTAATGTGCTTGGACACTGAGCTCTGTGAACAGCCAGCCTCTTTAGCGATGACCTTTTGTGTCTTGCCCTCCTTGTGCAAGGTGTCGATGGTCGTCTTTTGGACAACTGTCAAGTCAGCAGTCTTCCCCATGATTGTGTAGCCTATAGAACTAGACTGAAAGACCATTTAAAGGCTTTTGCAGGTGGTTTGAGTTAATTAGCTGATTAGAGTGTGGCACCAGGGGCCATCAATTTTGAACCTTTTCACAATATTCTAATTTTCTGATATGATGAATTTGAGATTTTCATTTGTTGTCATTTGTAATCATCAAAATTAAACAAAATAAACATCTGAAATATATGAGTTTGTATGTAATGTATGAATATAATATACAAGTTTCACTTTTTAAATGGAATTACTGAAATCAATCTACTTTTTCATGATATTCTAATTTTATGACCAGCACCTGTAAGTTCAAATAACTTATTTAAGTTGTTTAAATAACACTCTAACACTGACCTGAACATAGGATTCAGTCTTTGACCACTATGGTTGGGGTCGGCAGAAATATTAGAGGCCTTTTTTCTGACCTTGAGACCTGTAGAGGTTATGGATCGAGGGAAGGTACCCCCTTATGATCTTCTCCACAGACCTAATTGTTCAATATAGTTTGGACCTGTATTGTTTTGTACCTGAGCAAAATCACACAGAAATAGATGCACTGTACACAAAACTGACAAAATAGTGGGCATGTAGGAGATGACCTTCAGCTCTTGAGGAAGGTTGTAATTAGTCAGTTGCAAATATATTTTATATTCAAGGAAATATGATTTAATAAAAATCATATTCAGATGTAAATTTAAAGCACCAGGTTCTCCCTCTACCTTTATGTGCACTTGTCTCTGTTCTGGATCAAGCCAAAAATATTGTAATCATCTTCAAACTTCAGGGTTTTTCATGTGTGTATGGGGAGAAGAAAAGAGGAGAAAGGACACACCCCAGGGGGGCACCAGTGCTAGAAAAGAGGCTCCCCATCCACCTCTGCTTCTGGTGATTAGTCAGGAAAACTAAGATCCATTGAAAGTTGGAATGGGTGAGCATCTGGTTAAAGGCCATGCAAAAGCCCACAAACAACATCTTGATTGACGTTCTGATAGAATTAAAGGGGTGCTTGATGAGATAAAGTACATGTTGATTTTAACTTCTGTTGACCTGTTTGCCAAGCAGACCACCTGCTGGTGGTCCAGCACGCAACCTCTGGTCTCCTTCAGTTACTTTAAAACCATGTACTCCACAGATTATATAACCACAGATGTCAGGGCAAAAAAACTGAAGTTATTTTCTGTATTGCAATGACAGTGCATTTTATGGTGACAGGGATTATTTAATTTTTTATCTATGGTATTTTAGGAGTCCCAAGCATCTAATGCCATGTCTTAAATATATTTAAAACACTTTAAACACTGCCGCCACCTCTGTGAGGTTGTAAGTCCTGTCCAGAACCTAATTTGGATTTAAAAGAGATAGTAAAACCTTACCACACATCTTTCTATACAGACCTTTTGCTCTAGCTCAGCACAATGTAATTCATTTGACCATTTTTAAACAGTTTAAATTGATTAACTAGTTTTGTGCACCATTTAATCTTTTATCTGTTTATATTATGAACGGCTTCTTTAAAATGTGACTGTACAGAACTTTGGTGTAACTAAGCTTGTCTTTAAATGTGCTCTTCAAATTAAGTAAATTAATTAAAATGACTCAATCTGAAGTATAAAGATATAAATGGACAAAGCAATAAGTATTACATTCATCCAAAAATGATCACATTTTGTTCAGATGAGTAAAAATGTGCTCACATAATAAAATTTCTCAAACTTCTAGTTTACTTTAACATTTCATACAGCTACATTTTTTAAATCTTTCATTATTTTGAGGCAAAAAGTGCACATAAAAATAAAATAAACATCTCATAACGTGACTTGCGGCATTAGTCATGTTTGACTGATACCATTACTGAGTGCAATGCAGTCAAAACAAAGTAAGTCCGGCCACGCCTAAGCCTGGAGGCATGTGATTGCATACCTGTTCTGTCTTTTAATTCTCTCCTACTGTGTACATACATTACATTAAATGACTCGTAAATATATACGTTCAGGGAAATACTGATTAAAAAATGCTGAAAGGAATAATTACAATAAAACATAGAAAAATGAACATTGTTCCTTTAGGGTTTCTTCCTTAACCTAGCAGGTAAAACATGAAAGAGGAGGGACAACACAGTGGAAGGCATGCAGGTGGGACGGAGTGTCATGTTACCTGGATTTAGTTTTGCTTCGTCAACAGACTAAGGACGTTAAAAAACAAACTTCTAAACCTGCCCTGCAACAAAACTCAGCACTGTACACTTTTTATGACAGCTTTGGGATTTCAAAGAAGCGGAGGTCAGGCACCCTTCAAGCCAGATTCAGTTACTCAGGTGTCGATAGAAAAGGAGAGGGAGGACGAAAGGGAGAAGGATAGGATCGCTCCTGGTTTTCCTGTTTAAACCTGCTGAGGAAAAGAGTGACAAAAAGCAAGAGAAAAAGGATTTAGAGAGCAGCTCCAGCTGAGCAAAGGGCAGTGGTCTTACTAGGAGAAGTGCATCATGTGGGTGAGTAAATCATAAAAGGAACAACTGCATATTTTAAAGAGGACTGTTCTCTGTTCTAACTGTTGTAAATCAGATGAAAATTTAACCATAACCTGAAAACAGGCTTGTACTCATGGATGGTATAAAAAAAAAAAAAACATTGTAAAACTAAAGGCGGTCTCTTCTTAGGTCAAGTAAAATTCAACACTTTGCAGGGTAGTAGGCTTAAAAACTAATGCTATATTTGAATTAAAAGAAAATAGATCAGTCTGAAAACAAAAGGCAAGACTTTTTTATATTATTAATATTAATTATAAGCAGCTTGGGAACAGTTAGGAAAATATCCTAATATCATTATGTTATCTAGGGTGGTCATCGCTTGGTGCTGTTAATTTTTAGGTTTTGCTTATATTCACAATTTATGACTATAGGCTTAATATTTACCAGAGCTGAGGTAGAACTATGCTATAGATAATTCGTTCTTTATACTAATATATCTGAAATTATATTTCAACCATGCAGTTGTTTTCATATATGTGTTTTAAATTCACAATCATAATAAAAATAGATAATTAATTTATATAAATGAAAATATAAGTGGACAAGTGTTAAATCCAAATTTGTTCTTTGATATCCATTTTCAGACCCATTGACGATGATCCTTATCACTACTTTTATACATTGTATAAACGTTTTTCCCCTTCCTTTAAATGGAATTTGTTTGATCTTATCAGTTTTCTTATTTTGTCCTATCATACACGTCATGTTCGGTGTTTTTACTGTTTTGATGCTAAACAAATGTTTATGAGTATTTGAAATAACTCCGCTATCTATTCATGTGTACAGCTTCCGAGAAATGACTCACATCTGAGGCCAGAAAAAAACAAAAAGACTTAAAACTTTGTTGACCTAGTTATACCTGTTTTTTTAAAGGTGGTTTGCTTCCCAAAAACGCTGAGTAACCCGAGAGTTGAATTATCATAACATAAAATAACAACAAACATCTGTACCTTGAGTGGTTTATATCAGTCATGATGTTCTTTTTATGATCTTACAAAAAAATTGTGTGTCATGATGATATGAGGAATGGAATCAACCCACTGCTCTCAGAAATGTTTTCTTTCACCTCCAGTGCTCTACTTTCCAGTTTCTCAGGTTGTCACTGGTAGTTTTATCCCATCTTTATTCCCGATACTGTGACTTAATGGCACACTTTCAGGTACAGGTGACCTACTTTCCTGTAATGATTTCATGACGTGTTGCTGTGATTGATCGACAGGAGTTTATTACCTATATATTTTTTTGTTTTTAAAGAATAGATTAATGCTTTCAATACAATATGAGATGATTCCTGTTACCTACACTTATTAATTTAGATTTTATGAAGAATAGATCAATCTCACCTCATTACAAAAAAGCACAAAACAACGAATGCGGTAAAAAAAAGTTGCTCTTAATAAATCTTATAAAGAGAAAACAAAATTACCTTGTATTTTACTTAGCCTTTTTGTGACCAAGGGAGTTTATCTGGTAAAATCTTCCATGACAGATACAACAGAACAGCAAAACTGACTGAAAAAGAAAACCTGTTCAACTACCTCTGCTTCTGTTTCTATTTGAAGTAGGGGGAAAGGATTGTTTACCATCTGGCAATAAACAAGTTGAGAAATAACTTGCGAATCCTACCTTTTTTTATTTTCAACATATAAAACAACTTCCACTGAAAACAGGATTTTGACCAAAAACATTGACTGAAAAACTAGAACAATCTTAAAATAAGAACAAAAGGCAAACCAAAGAGTTCCACAAACCAACCATCTGTATATAATCTGCTAAAAGTCTTTTAATAAACCTGATGGAAGCTGATTACTAAGTGAACAGAGTCTGCCTTTTATGAGTACATCCTTGAAATAAATTAAATTTTACTACAACAACAAAATCTCACGCTATGATATTTCTTCGACACGAAGACCTATTTTGCAAATTCAGAAATTCCATGATAAGAGATACAATGTAGCTTGATCTAGCGTGAGACTTGAAACCTGGCTTCATTCGTTCTACAAAGGCAGAGCCAAACTCACCAGATATGTTCTGTAAAATTCAAAAAAAGAAAGCTTCCTGGAGAGGTGACGAAACATCTTCAAATCTTGGAAACCAAGTCCAGTGTATATTATTTTTAATTTTTACGGAATGACTATGACCTGGATGACTGGGAACCTTCATGAGCATATCACCAGATATGGCTTCGTCAAGCAAGAGCCCTATTTCACAAAACTAACGGAAATGATTAATTCTGGATTTTCCAAATATCCTGGCATGATTAAGCCTCAACTTGGTTTCACAAAAGTTACCGCATAAGTTACAACTGGGATCAGTTCTTTGCAGTTAAACTGCTCCAAACCAGGCTAATATCCAGGCTTACTTGGACCTGCTGCCTTACAGTATCAGCTCTGTTAGTGGTGAGCGATCTACTCATCCCTGCAGATCACAGGGATGAATTCTGGAAATATCGGAATTCAGGTGATAAAACATATGTTCTGTTTAGTAAAGGATTCAATACAGTGTTAAGAATTAAATTCACTCTGCCACATTGAAGGCAAAGACATAAAAATACTTAAATCAGACCTCAGAAAGACTCGATCCTAAGACAAAAAAGTGATATAGTAAATCTATAAACTTAAGCTCTGCACATGATAAAAAAATAAATTTTAGGTGAATATTTGTTCATTTGAGAAAATGACAGGTCACTTCTTGAAGTATAACATTTTCAGTTAAAATTTTGGTTTTCACTGGCTTTACCTCTTACCCTGGAATTTCTGCATTGGTTTTGTGAAATGAGACAATGGGATGTTCTTTTCTAGCATCTATTGCTATTTCTAAATGTGAACATTTAACATTTTGATGACATAAAGCTAAAGTACATCTCTAAGAAAGAAAGCATGGTAGTTCTATTATGAATAAGAATCTAATCTAAATTAGAAATTTCCTGAAACTGGGAAATTACACTACATGTGCAAACTGAAACAGTAAGAGGAAACTTACAGCTGTACAATTAGACTGTGTAGGTCACATTACCTAAGATGGGGTGACTGGGGACAGTTGCAGGACTTTACACCGAGACAGTAGGGCCAACACACTATTATTTATATATTAAACTTAAATCTCCCTGCTAATGGCTCATACCGTTTAACAAAATCTACCAAGTCATACCAAAATCTAAATCATGTCACAGACTCTCCATCAAACTGACCATATCAATGCATTTTTTTGCACCATGTTTTATCTCCCAAAATGTTTATGTTTGATCACTGCTGCACTTTAAGGAAATGAAAATGTCATGAGAGCTTTACAAAACAAATTTGTTTTGTATAAACTCTGTGTATACAAAATAACAATAAATGTTGTCTAAGTCTAATTTAAATATTGCACACAGATTTTTCACAATACCAATAATAATTTTTTTTAAAGTTAATTGTTGCAGCCATTTAATGGATGGGGACAATTGCAGCACCTCTTAGGGACCATTACAAACAAGTTATACATTAATTCAGTTTTACACATAAAAGTTCATTATTTGTCTCGAGTCTGTATATTGTTCTGTGAATTTGTTTTACTTATAAAACTTAAAAACTGAAACACTGAGGCTGATGTCTGCATATACACTTACAGAAATCATAATGAAAATAAAAATCTCCAAACTACATTGGCTAACATAGCTTACTAAAATATTAATGACAGCCCTAATGGCAGCATTAATGGGAAGTTAAAATTATAAGTGATTTTAAGACTACTGACACTTAAATAAAAAAAAAAAAAAAAAAATATGTATCTTACTTTTTTTGGTAACAACCCATTAGGGCTGCACAGTGGCGCAGTTCGTAGCACTGTTGCTTTGCAACAAGAAGATCCTGGGTTCTATTGCCAGGGTGCATGCGTGGTTTCTCTTTGGGTACTCTGATTTCCTTGGTCAGGAAAGTTTAACAAAACTACACAACAAGGAAAGACATACTTTCAGTTCACAAGAACACTTTTTTATCAGTAAAAAAAATATCTTGAATGTGTCTTAAGTCGTACTTGTGGTGGTGGGGTCCAAATGAATGTGCAGTATTAATGTCATCATGATAACCGTCAAACCGTCCCTCATTTAAACTGACCCCAGTCCCTCCAACTTACTAGTTATTGTCCAATCCTTATAGGTACACTTACTTTATTTCACCTATTCAAAAAAATATATATATTTATATATATATATATTTCTGTCTGTGTATACATAGTTAAAATAAGCCATGATTTTGTATGCATTAGATTTTTCTTCAGTACTTTTAGTTGTACAAATTGTTCCAACACCCTAAAACTGATCAGACCAGTCTAGCTGGTGCATGTGCAGACTACAAAGCTGTTAGCCTCAATTAGAAAGCACCGGATTCAAGTGAATTTCAATTATCAGGAGCAGTAGCCTCAAGGCAGCTTTTATAAAAGTTCAGCCATCACTAAGGGTGTTGACACATAAAATACACACTCTCTATAAAATAATTTACATGGTTCTTCAGTCATAGAATCTAATGGCAAAAAAACAAACAGGAAGAACAATCAGCCACGCAACAGCACCATCCTCCATGGCTACAACACATTGAAGACATTTGTATCTTTCTTGGCGAAAAAACAAAAACAAAAGAACATTTAATGATGGACAGTATAGTACAAAATGATATCATATCAAGAATCAGTTCTTTTTTTCTTCTTTTTTTTTAACAGTGTCCTGTCTGACAGTGTGGCTTTAAGAATAATTGTCTTGATGCCAAAAAGAGCTCAACAGATTTTGCTTTCACAAGTGGAGCAGTACAGCTATCGCCATAGAGTTCCGCTTGATTTATGCATATAAGTAGCTTAATTATAATTAATGCAGGGAGTATTACATATTATATTTACACTGCTATGGGAAAGTAGAACAGGAAAGGAAAAACAGGAAAAAGCACAAAAGCTGAAAGAAAGAGGAGATAAAAGGGAGGCAATGGTAAAACTTCTGTCTGCTTCATCACCTGCAAAGAGATGTAAAAAGAACAGCACAACCAACTGATATAGTATAAGAGATACAATAAAGTAGCACCTTGATACTATTGCTGAAGTACAGGTAGTATTATTTAATCTGACATGCATACTGTGGTAGCTAAAGATCAGAATGTGGGTTTTCTGTATGGAAGGGAATCTCTAAGTACCTGGAACCAAGCCCCTGTAGTTGTTTGTGAAAGTACTTGCTACGCTAGAATGCTAAAGAAAGAAGAGAAAAGGCCAATCAGAGTGAAAAACTGCTTCAATTAGAACCCAAAAAATTTTAGTATTGCACGAAATGTGTATAAAAACACATATGTTGTTACTAACCCTTCAGTAGCCTTGCAAATACCATTCTCTCTCATTAATTGGTACTCAGGATGGGAATGGAAGGGGTCAAATTTGGTATAAGCTCAACTTCCACTTGGATGGCAGATTTTACCAACCCAACATCTCTGTTCTGTTTGGACCACAAATGGTCTGGTACATCTGTTAGCATTTTCGTTAACATTGCATTATCCTCTGATAATATTTAATTTACATCTGATTAATAATTTGGTTTAGCAGGCAACATTATTACCAGTGGTTTAGCTGCCATTCTTGTTTCTCACAAAGTCTTTATCACTAAGGCATCGTTTTTTTGAAAACAGTATGGATTTTCTGTCTTTTCCCATTTAACCTCAGTTGCAGTTTTTATCATCAATCTGACAGCTTTTGCATGGCCACCTCTGTGATCAAAGAACTTTATGAAATCATAACCTGGGAGCATCTGTGCTTCACTTTCCATTAGTAGATACGTGCTGAAAAATGTTGAACTTTAGTAAGATCAAGCATTGTGTCACATTGCAATATAGTGGCTGATGATTTAAAACATTGACATTTTGATTCTGTGAATAGGAAAGTCCCCAGATATTTTTCTCCATTAAACGTTTGGAAAGTTTTTGTAATAACTTAAAGTTATCATATCAAAAATCGGCTAAGATCCAAAGAGTTGAAGTGGTAAAGTTATTTTTAGTCTCTGAGCCATAGAGTAAGCTGAAATGAGCTTATAGATAGCCTTTTCAGGGTTTATCAATTCAATCTACAAAACTTTGAAAACTACAAAGTTTTAAATATATTCAGAATCACTCTAATAGTTGTCAGGTTGTCAGATGGTACTATTTCAAGCTCTGACATTTAATGTTTCAGTTTTCTTCAGTTTTCTTTCTTGTTCAGACATCCCAAACAATATTAGTTTGTGATCTTAATTTATTCTTGTACATTTACAGCAACCATGACCTAAAAGCAGTTACAAACTTTAAACTGCAACTGGTAAAGGGGAGATTAAATTTCACTCTTTACACCCTAATAATTTCACTCTCCCTGAAAATGTTGCTGTTTTCTGATTTGCATACATGCAAAGTCTGTTGGTTGGTAGGACTTTATCGTATCCACTGAATTTACCCACCTGCTGACAAAAGCTACCTAAATAAGTTACCCATTTAAAAAGGTAGCCAATAAAAACGGTATTTTTGCTCAGAAGAACCAATCACAAAACAGGCATCTCAATCTAGATTGACTCCTCTTAAGCCGTTTGCTTTGTTGTCAGTTCAGCTAGAAAAGCCCACAAACAGCAACCATTAAACAAGTAAAATATGCGTGTCATCAACAACTTGGGAAAGTTTTCTGCACTGCTTTAAGGTATGCCATTGCCATTTCTTTATGATACCTGAACTCTGGTCTTCTATAGTTGAAAGTGGTATCACTGAGTTTTTCTTATATGTCGTACATTTGAATTTCCTTTTAATTTGCAAGATAATTTAGATATCCCTTATTAAGCCTTCTAGTTAAGTCCTACCTGACCCGGGAACACATTAAAGAATCACCATAAAGTTAACTTTTCAGATGTTAGTCTACTAAATAATTGAATGCATTCAATTATTTTTGTTTTTTTCAATATGTTTCGGACTGATTAACACAAGACTGTGCAGTTTTAGACTTCTAAATGATTGAGTTATTACATTTTTGTGTTGGAAAGGTGTAAAGATGCACATCCCATCAGGTTGGGGGGAACCCACCATTTGTCCTAGTCCAGGCATCCCCAAACTCGGTCCTCAAGGCCCCCTGCCCTGCAGGTTTTAGAGGTTTCCTTGCTCCAGCACAGCTGATTTTAATTGAAAGCTGATTAACAGGCTTTTGGTCTACTGCAATCATTATAACCAGCTGTGCTGAAGCAGAGAAACCTCTAAAACCTGCAGGACAGGGGGCCTTGAGGACCGAGTTTGGGGATACCTGTCCTAGTCCATTTAATCAGAAAAAAGGATTGAGGCATTAGAAAATAGTATTCCATATCACCTTAAATAAAGCAATTGATTCTGTATATAATGATTTCTATATCACAGCAAAATCCAGAAACAATATGCTACTGTAACTAGCATAATTGTTCTTTTACTGTCTCATATGTTTATGATGTTTCTCTGTTTCCACATACTTGATTTTAACAAATGGGAATTGGTAGAGCTTCAACGTAAGCTGAGGGGATAATGCGATCAGCAGAATCAGGTGTGCTGAACCAGGGACCCAGTAAAAATGCTGTGACACATAATTAGGAAAGGCTTGGGCACTCCTAAACAAATTGGTCTTGAGCTCTCTGCAGTTCTTTCCAAATTGCATGATAATGCTTGCAATGTGATAATTAACAATGCAAAACGCTAATCTTTATAGTGAAACTGTGCTCCACCTACTTTGTTTTAATAGGCATCATTCAACACCACAAGACCACGTCCTTTGGTCTCTGTGGTTTAGAGGTGGCTGCAGGCAGCTTTACATGAATTCCCATCATCAATGCCTTATTTTTTACAGTATGTTGCTGATGGACTGAGAAATTAGCCGTTCTCCATGAACTTCCAAACTGCTAAAGTTTTTTTTATTTTTTTGTAACTAAAATTCCATTCAACAGTTCTACTGAATATTTGGCATAAATTTATTCAAACCGGGATTTTAATATTGCTTGCATTGATCTTGAATGTTAAGTACATTTTTGCAGCGCTACTTTGCAGAACCTAATGTCGTTGTTAGCGGTAAGTTGATACTGATTAGATGATATCTAATGAGATAACATCTAATGGAACCTATAGAGAATGTGATAATGTCATCTGTGTCAAAAATGTTTGTTTGGTGCAGTGTTCTGATTCTCACCTTATAAATGTACTTAAATGGGTCACCTGTTTGTTTTCCAATGGCTTTGTTCCAATTTTAGTTATAATCACGCATTCCTTCTTCCTGACAATACAATTCCTCCTGTTTAACTTTATACAAGGGCAAAATATTTTAAGTGTTTTTATATATCACTCAAAGTTCCAAAACATATACTGTATACGTGCTTTTAAGTTATTGAAATTTTCTGTAAATAGAAAATGCTTTGATAATAATATAGCAGCAAATTTAACCCAAACCTGTGACGGAACCTGTCAGAGGTGACAAAAGCACAGCTTAGCCTTCATGTCTACTATTTTGTTCTTTTTCAGTGCTGTACTCTATACTAGAGACCAAAACTGACAAAATTAAAAATATATATGTACATATATGGTAAAATAATTAAACATTATACCTAAATTTACCAATTAACATGAAAATATTGATTGACTTTTTGAGAGATAACAAAGAAAGACGGCCTACCTTAATTGTACAATGGAATTGAAATGCATAAAAAAAAGTTAAAAACGTAGGCTGAAAAGTTTTAAGATGCTTTTCAGAATAAGTTTATGGGGGGAACTGAAGGATCGCAGTAGGATCCTTCAGTTCCATTGTATGGCACCAGGGGAGCAATCAGGAGTTAAGGGTTTTGCTCAGGAACCCAGAGTGCAGGCTGAGGGGATCAAACCGGATTATTGGATTATTGGCAAACTTCTCAGAGCACAAGCGCAATACTCTAACCCACTAGGCCAACACTCCTCCAAAAATGTGTGGTTGAGTTAATAGTTTGGTATATTGATTGACTTCATCAATCTTACAGTGCAGAAATGTACTTGTTACACTGGCTCAAAAGTCAAAAAGAAGAAGAAGGTGCCAAAAGGAAGAAAAGGTGCATGGGGTATATACAGTGCATCCATATATATATATATATGTATGTTTGTTTGTATGTATGAATATATATAGCTATTGCACTGGGTATCAAATGTAAACGGGTACATGTAAACATCTTTTTTGAAGGGGGTTCTGAAGTTGAGCTGAGGAAGCACAAAGTAGAGGTACTCTGAAGAAAACTTTTTTACGTGAACAAGACCTACAAAACCATAACGCTGATCTACAGGTACAGTTGAGGCTAAAATACTTCTGCCAGATTTGGAGAAATCTTTTCATTTTGTTAATATTCCCGTCATTAGTGGAAGTGATCATGTTTCAGCCAAAGTCTGAACTTGAAGCTGGCAAAGAACATGTTAGGGGAGCTAAAGATTAGGGTGATGGCAATACGCCTTCCAGTCCTAACATAAAGCTCATCACTAAAGGTACGTCTCCAAAATACCAGTGGAGGCATCCGAAATGCTGGTCTTTGATTTCTAGAAACTAATTAAGATATTTACAATTACTAAACACACTATCAAGCTTTTTATGGTAAAGTAGAGACTTTTTATGAACACCCTCTGTATCGCATTTCAGTAAGGAACATACTTCTTACTACCCCATGCTTAAAGGAGACTTGTATATGCATAGCTTAAAGGCCCATGTCTTCTTTAATCTGGCCCAAGCATCACAAACGCCTGTGCTCTTCTGATATCTGTCATCTTCTCTCCTCAGGCTCCAACACCACAGCAAACGGACAGCTCCAAACCGTTAAATCCTGGGAAGCCAAGTAAGTTAGGAGTCCATTTTTGGTTTTCTAGATGTTGTACTAATAGATTTGATGGTCGATAAGGAAGCTAAAACAAACTTGAAACCGAGACTCTGACACATTCTGTTTTGGACACTTTTTCACTTCCTATAGATAATCTTGTGGGTTTTTTTTTTCTTTTTTCCTTTTTCTTTTTGCCAGTTCCTCGACCAGGCCATCGCAAAAGACCAATGACAGACCCCAAGCCTCAAAATGCAAAAACGTCGAAAAGGAGGAAAATATTACTCAGTATTTTGATAGTGGTTGTGATTGTGGGAATACTGGTCACTGCAGGATACTTTAGTAAGTCCCAGTACCTTTATAACATATCTTATTAATGTATTTTGGAGGATTAAAACAAGTTTTTGTAAATAGAACAAGAATGTTCTTTAAAATCTTACCTGAATTGATACCATATACAAATATTATTTTAAAAGTCTCAATTAGGTGTACTTATCAGAAAAGCATTTCTTAACCATGCTATCCTCTACTATTCCTACATTTGCTGCCTCTCTCCTTCAGTTAAAAGGCTAATTGACAGCAAATACTTCTTCTGCAAAAGTTCAGTGAAGTTCATCCCACTCGATAAAGCCTGTGATGGGAACAGAGACTGCTCTGGAGGAGAAGATGAAATTACTTGTTTATCATCATTTACAGAAAACACCACATTTCCAGGTACTGTACAACAAAACACTTTGCACCTTATGTTGCCTCAGATAAAACTGGAGGTTGAAAGAAAAAACATGACTCATTTTTTTTTCACCTTCCTCCCAGTGCGCCTTACTACTTCTAAGCACGTCCTCCAAGTGTACAGTCCTGGCTCAGGATGGAAGACCATGTGCAGTGACAACTGGACTGAGAAGCACACTCAGACTGCTTGTCAGCAACTGGGGTACACAAAGTAAGTTAATAATAGGGCCATGTGTTAAAAAAAACAAAAAAAAAACTGTTTGCTTTGGTTCAAATTACAGTTTGCATTTCTTCCCTCACTCTGTGCGCACAGTTCCCCTACAAGCAGTACGGTCAAAGTTGGTTCTTTACAATCCCTTCTGAAAAGTCAAACATTCTGTGCAGTGGGGAACAAAAGTCCAAGCACACCAGTGCATGAGGCCACTACTGAACGGTAAGAACAAAACAGCAAATTCAGTTTTTAATGGAGTTGATTTATGGCCCTAGTTGAGTTTCAAGCCATCCGACTGGGCCAATAGGGCTCAAAATCTAAAAAAAAAAAAAAATTATATTATATTAATATTATTCTAACTGTATTACTGTACAGAAAGGTCCCCTTTATCTTCAGGTTTCTTGCAATCTTGTTTTCTTCTTAGAATATGCATGGGAGAGACTGTTGACAAAGTTTCTGTTCCTCAAATGCAAAAAGTCCCATTTTTTTTCCTTCCTCAAATTAATTTTTCCCCTATTAAAAGTGAACAAACAGGTGCCTTACTAAATGAAAATGGAACAGAAACTGGGGCATAGTTCAACATGGGGTATTGCTGTTTGGTTTTGGTTATACTGACATACGAACAGTTTTCACTTGCTTTCTCTCTCTGCTTCTCTCTCTAAACAGCCGGCTGTGCAGTTCTGGATCTGTGATCTCTTTGAAGTGTTCAGGTGAGTTCAGTTTTGACTGAACTATGTGACTATGTTGTTGACACATTCTTATGGGGTACATTAGGTTCCAGTGATGAATAAGAGATGTCACAAGTTTGGCACATGCAAGCCTAAACATGAATACAATTAAAAGCAAAACAGTCCCGGCACCTCGCAACAGCTTGCTCCCTTCTTTACAACAGCTTAAGATCCTGGAATGGACAAGCTGACGTTTTTACACTGCAAACTTTGTCCAAATATTTTATTCTTAATTTTAAACAATGTCAGTTATGTCTTGAAAATCTATTACTGTAATTTTTTTAAAGTTTGTCTAAACTTGCATTGACTTAGGAATCTGTTTAAAAGGTTTCTCATGCCGTAGCAACAAGGGAAAAAAATTCCCACCAAATTACCAGCCCCTGAATAAAAGTACCACTATAATTGATGGTGTCCTAATTTGTCAAGCTTATGCAGTGTGGGTAACATAAATCATTCGTTAAACTGATTGTTTTATTTCTCAGACTGTGGAGAGGTGGGCAATCAAGACCGCATTGTTGGGGGTGTAGATGGCTTCATAGAGGACTGGCCGTGGCAAGTCAGCCTGCAAGAAAATGGTCAGCACAGGTGTGGGGGCTCACTGGTGTCCCCACGCTGGATTGTCACTGCCGCCCACTGCTTTGCTGGGTCAGTAAGGCTCCCCCTGTTCACCATTTAGGCCTAATGGGAATTCTGCTTTGTCTCAGAAACTTCAACTCATTCTCCTACTTCTTCTATCTCTCACTTTTGTTCTCTGGTCCCTGCAGCAATGTAAGAGAGTTGAGTCGGTGGAAAGTGATGTCTGGAGAGACGCACATGAATGCAATAGGAGGCTCCTCGGTGGATAGGATCATACTTCATGGAAAATACGATACAGATAAAAATGACTATGACCTGGCAATGATGAGGCTCAGTAGCCCGATCTCAGTGGGAGGTTAGATCTTATCATTAAACCTATGAAACGTATTTGAAATGTTAACCTGTTCAGCTCAATCTGTAGGTCAGTTGACTTTTTTTTTTTTTTTCTTCCAAAGCATTATTTAAGAAGTGCCCTTTACTAACATCTAGTGGTCAGTTTGTTCCTATGCAACTTCATAATTTTATGCTTACTGTAAGTCAGCTGGATAATAAATGCATATCATTATTTCTATTTAATTTTTTTAGGCATCCAGGTCATGGTTATCATATATGGTTAAAAAGTGGCTAATTTAATTTGTGTTGTCCCCCTTTTCTTAATGTGATTCACAGACAAACGCAAGCCAGCGTGTCTCCCTCCTAAATTTCTTGAAATACCTGACAAAGCTGCAGTGGTTGTTACAGGGTGGGGGCTGTTGAAAGAAGAAGGTGAGACACTCAACTGAGAACGGGAAATTAGATTTTTTTTTTTTTTTCTTAATGTAACAGTTTGTTTTGATGTTTAGGTAAGGCGTCATCAACACTGCAAAAGGCTAATGTGGAGATGATAGCTCGAAGTACATGTTCAAGCTCTGCCATCTATGGCAGCTATATAACACCAAGAATGATCTGTGCTGGCAACTTGAAGGGAGGTGTGGATGCCTGCCAGGTGATAAATTGTATTTCTAGTCATCTTCAAATGTATACCTTGAGTTCATCAAGGGTGTATCACTATTGTTCTTAAAAGTCAGATTTTTAAAATTGAATGATTTGTGTTTTCAAACTGCAGGGTGATAGTGGGGGCCCTTTGGTGTACTTCTCCTCGTTTAGCTGGGATCTGGTGGGAGTGGTAAGCTGGGGTGTTGGCTGTGCACAACAAAACAGGCCTGGCGTCTACAGCAACGTGGATGACATGCTCAACTGGATCTATACAGTCATTGAGGTACTGCACAAATGCATAAGGAATCTCCTCTTTAAAGCTATGATTATCTAAGTTTGGTTTTATTTATTTTGTTTTTTTTTAGAAGAACCAGTGATCTTCCCCTCTGACAAGACACTTTGGATGGCCTCAGGCCTTTTTACCCGGGAAAACTGTGAAACTAAAAACTGTTTAGCACTGCTTTATGTAAATAAGGGAAGAGAGAACTAAATATGCACAACTCAGTAAAACCAGCCATGTTTTACAACATGAAAATGCATGCAGACATAATTTATTTCCAAAGATTGGGCAATTTCCTATGTTTCTCAGGGATCATGTTTTGATGTTTGTTGCCAATTTAAGGGTGCAAGAGGTTGTAATAGATGTTTTAGCTTTTTTCTAAATAACCTTAACAGTTTTGTCAGGACAAGCTAGTGTGAGTGGCTTCACATATTCTTTTATTTTTACATGTATGGATGTTTTTAGAGTGCTGGGTTTGAGATTTTTTCCCAATGAAGAAACCCACATTTTATTTTATTTTTTTTACCAGAAAATTATCTGCTACAGGATGATTTGAGCCTTTTAGGTGTAAATTTAGCATTTTTATATTATTTTGAATGAAGACAGATTAGTGAAGTTCTGACCCAGTAAGTAAGCATTGCTATACTAGTTAATTGTCAATCCTATTTATTTTTTGACAATGGTATCTTTAAAAGCACTGGTCAAACAACCTCCCTTTATTCCTCGCACTTAATAGGAATGAGTAGCTTCTTTGGAAGCAAACAATTTTGATTTACCCACTGCCTCAAATGTCTAACTGTCCTAGCAATAGTAATGAACCATTGTTATTGTTTGTATTTGTTCTTAAACCTGTAAATATGTTTGGTACTTTCTCAATCTTGCCTTTTTTGGGTTACAGTGAAAATAAACTTGGAATTCATCCTTTTTATTGTTTAATCATCCTTTCCGAGTTGATGCTTTCATTTTGTTCCCAGTAGTTCAAGACCAGAATCCATTTTATAGTTAAACACAAAATTATGTAAAAGCATGTTTAACCATTGAGCATATTTATTAAGATTATTTGTGAATTATTTTTGCTTTAGAGGTTTACATGCCAAAAGTATTGGCTCACCATGACTCTCATATGAACGTAACTAACACCCCATTCTTAAAATGTGATATTTTGCAAATAGCTTGAACTCTTTCAGGGAGGCTGTCCACAAGATTTCGGGGTGTGTTTATTAGAATTTCTGACCATTCTTGTAAAAGCACATGTAAGGTCATGGATGATGTTGGATGAGAAGGCCTGGTTCTCACAGGAAGAACTTTCCAGTGTAGGAAAGGGACTTCACTCTGTGTACTCCGACGTCGAGGTGCTAACGTCTCTGTTAAACACTTTAAAAAACTCTGAAAATGGAATACGAAAGGTGGATTCTTGATTCTTGCCGTCGGAGTACACAGAGTGAAGCGAAAAGACTACAACTGTGTAAACAGGCCCCGTTTCCGGTGGCAGGGGAATATTGACTATTCCAACAGAACTCAATGGGATTTACAAAATGCTAAATAAAACACTACAGGAACGTTTTTTCTTTACGAAACTTTTTTTGGAACGTCATTGAACAGCGCTGACGACCCGGTGAGTAGCATATTTTAAAAAAAGAACGTTTAAGGTTGTTTTAAGGACATTATCGGACATGCTCTATGCAAGCCATTCTAAAGCAGCCAGGGGTGGATTCTAAATGAGCCAAAAAGCAGAGACAGGACCAATTGTCAAAATTTTGGTGTCGATCATTCGATTTCATCCTGGACACTACAGAAAATGGGCTAAAAGTGTTAAAAACCGAACTTCTCCTTTAACTTGAAATGGCCAAGCTGCTTCCGAAAAACCAGTGCAACTTTAAAATGGCGCTCCATCAAACTTTACACTTGCACAATACAGTCAGGTCAAGTAAGTGTTCATCTCCTGCCAACCACAAAATCCAGACTTGCCTTAAGATTTCCAGGTTGAGAAGCATTATTCATCATTCCAGAAAACATGCCTCTAATGTGGGTGGTGGCATGCAACTAACACTTTTCATTTTATACTTCATTTAGTGCTTGGGTGTAGCTGCTCAGCCATTCCATGAGTTTACAGGTGCTGGTCATAAAATTAGAATATCATGAAAAAGTAGATTGATTTCAGTAATTCCATTTAAAAAGTGAAACTTGTATATTATATTCATACATTACATACAAACTCATATATTTCAGATGTTTATTTTGTTTAATTTTGATGATTACAAATGACAACAAATGAAAATCTCAAATTCATCATATCAGAAAATTAGAATATTACTGAAAACCAATAAAAACAAAGGATTTATAGAAATGTTGGCCAACTGAAAAGTATGAACATGAAAAGTATGAGCATGTACAGCACTCAGTATTTAGTTGGGCCTCCTTTGGCCTGTATTACTGCAGCAATGCGGCGTGGCATGGAGTCGATCAGTCTGTGGCACTGCTCAGGTGTTATGATAGCCCAGGTTGCTCTAATAGTGGCTTTTAGCTCTTCTGAATTGTTGGGTCTGGTGTATTGCATCTTCTTCTTCACAATACCCCATAGATTTTCTATGGGGTTAAGGTCAGGAGAGTTTGCTGGCCAATTAAGAACAGGGATACCATGGTCCTTCAACCAGGTACTGGTAGCTTTGGCACTGTGTGCAGGTGCCAAGTCCTGTTGGAAAATGAAATCTGCATCTCCAAAAAGTTGGTCAGCTGCAGGAAGCATGAAGTGCTCTAAAACTTCCTGGTATGTGGCTGCGTTGACCCTGGACCTCAGAAAACACAATGGACCAACACCAGCAGATGACATGGCACCCCAAACCATCACTGACTGTGGAAACTTTACACTGGACTTCAAGCAACGTGGATGAAGTGCCTCTCTTCTTTTCCTCCAGACTCTGGGACCTTGATTTCCAAAGGAAATGCAAAATTTACTTTCATCAGAGAACATGACTTTGGACCACTCACCAGCAGTCCAGTCCTGTTTCTCTTTAGCCCAGGCAAGACGCTTCTGACGCTGTCTGTGGTTCAAGAGTGGCTTGACACAAGGAATGCGACAGCAGAAACCCATGTCTTTCATACGTCTGTGTGTGGTGGTTCTTGAAGCACTCACTCCAGCTGCAGTCCACTCTTTGTGAATCTCCCCCACATTTTTGAAGGGGTTTTGTTTCACAATCCTCTCCAGGGTGCGGTTATCTCTCTTGCTTGTACACTTTTTTCGACCACATCTTTTCCTTCCCTTCGCCTCTCTATTAATGTGCTTGGACACTGAGCTCTGTGAACAGCCAGCCTCTTTAGCGATGACCTTTTGTGTCTTGCCCTCCTTGTGCAAGGTGTCGATGGTCGTCTTTTGGACAACTGTCAAGTCAGCAGTCTTCCCCATGATTGTGTAGCCTATAGAACTAGACTGAAAGACCATTTAAAGGCTTTTGCAGGTGGTTTGAGTTAATTAGCTGATTAGAGTGTGGCACCAGGGGCCATCAATTTTGAACCTTTTCACAATATTCTAATTTTCTGATATGATGAATTTGAGATTTTCATTTGTTGTCATTTGTAATCATCAAAATTAAACAAAATAAACATCTGAAATATATGAGTTTGTATGTAATGTATGAATATAATATACAAGTTTCACTTTTTAAATGGAATTACTGAAATCAATCTACTTTTTCATGATATTCTAATTTTATGACCAGCACCTGTACTACGTACCTTTCTAGAGCTAATATGGAGCATAGGTGGAAGTTCAGCTAAAGAAACTCATTGCTTTTCATACATCCACCATTTCAACAGACCTCCAGCCCCTCCTCCACATTCGTAGCTAAAGCTTCACCAGAGTGTCATTCCTCCCGGACTCCTACTGCGTTCCCCGTCTCCTCTTAAACGGTTTTGAGCCTGGTTCTGCCAGAGGTTTCTTCCCAACGGGGAGTTTTTCCTCTCCACTGTCGCTTCATTCTTGCTCATTATGGACAGGTTCTCTCACCCTGTGTTATCCAACTGGACTTCCATCTTCCAGGTCCCTGAGTGAAGCTCTAGTATCAGCTCACGCAGTCCACTGGATCTCCCCATAAAGCTCAGCATAGCGTCTTGCTAACCAGCAGTCTACAGACTGACCAACTTCATCCATCTCCACTCCACCACCAGTTTCAGGCCCGGGGGGGAAACAGCCCTATTCTTTGCTCCCGTTCATGAATTAAGTGCTGTTTCCTGCTGAGGTCTGAGCACCAAAGACAAAGTAATTGTATCAAATTTCTCCTAATTGTCTTTTCTCTTTGTGTGAGTTTTTTAGATTGAACTGAAGGCCACATGTAATTTCTAAGCTTGCTGATTGCAGGAAGTTGGAGACCTCTGAGCACTAACCACATTAGCATCTGCTGACCCAGCTCCATTAGTTATCATAGGTCTGGACAATATGGCCCAAACTCAAAGTATTGTCTCAGTTAAGATCAGTTGATACAATAGAAGTTCAATATTGACATAAAAAATTAAAGTCTCTAAGAATGTGGAGAAAGCCCAAAAGAAAACGTAAAAGAGTTCTGTAAAAATGCATTAAAATTATCTTTATAAGTCAATATCTTTATAAATCGCGTCTACTGTAATTTCTGTAATTTTAAATCACTGCCATTGAATAGTGATATTTTATACTGAATTATTGTGCACCACTAGGTAACTTGGCCTACCAATACATGGCCGAATTGGCTCCAATCTCTTCCACTCTGTTATAACACTGATGGTGAAATTTGAAGAAATGCATTTTAATCACCTGGCCTGCGGCATGGCACCCAATCACTTCACTACACTGGAATTCACCAATTGTAGAAACTCACTGCATGCCTTATTAACTGATTTTTATACACCGTTGACAATGGAAGAGACTGGAATACCTGGTTTTAATTATTTGCATTGGTGAGCAAACACTTTTGGGAATATAGTACCGTATTTTCACGACCATAAGGCGCACCGGACTAAAAGGCGCAGTCTCAGTTATGTGTCCCATTTCTGTATTTAACACACACATAAGGCGCACCGGACTATAGGGCGCGTTTTTTATATACAGGTACATGTCCTCTCAGGTGGATTTTCCCACTTAAAAACATATTAAAACTACTTTATTCCCACTGATCACAGCAAATAAAGCTGCAAGGTGTATTTATTACAAAGTATTATTCAAACCTGGGAACCGGCATGCTGATGACACAGGGCTGTGATTACTCCTCTGATACAGTTTATTGAGGCATAAATTAACTTAAAACATAGGCAGGATAATAATCTGGATGAACTGACTGCAATGATTAAATTTTCAGGTGGACTTTCTCACTTAAAAAGATTTAGATTATTTAGATGAAAAAACACCTGCGGAGGTGAGCCCGTATGCCCCGCGGCCCATAGGCTGCTGTTGAATTGAGTTTTCAGGTAGAAAAATAGAGCGGGAGCAAAACTGAGTATGATTGTGCTTTATTAATGTATTTATTACAGAGTATTAATCAAACCCATCAAAGTCCTCATCCTCTGTTTCTGAATTAAACAGCTGCGCTAAATCCGACATGCCAGTTTCCCCTTCCGACATGCCAGTTTCCCCTTCTTCTTCGTTTATTGACGCATAAATTAACTTAAAACATAGGCAGGATAATAATCTGGATGAACTGACTGCAATGATTAAATTTTCAGGTGGGCTTTATCACTTAAAAAGATTGAGATTATTTAGATGAAAAAACACCTGCGGAGGTGAGCCTGTATGCCCCGCGGCCCATAGGCTGCTGTTGTATTAAGTTTTCAGGTAGAAAAATACAGCGGGAGCAAAACTGAGTATGATTGTGCTTTATTCAAGTATTTATTACAGAGTATTAATCAAACCCCTCAAAGTCCTCATCCTCTGTTTCTGAATTAAACAGCTGCGCTAAATCCG